ATCTGTGGCTTTTTAGTTTTTATCAAATTCAGAATACTTTTGGCCGTCATTTCTTAAAATAAGGTTTCTCTCCCTCCTCCCCCGCACCGTATTCCCAGACTCCAATTATACTAATACTATACTGCCAAAAGTTATCCCATAGATAACTTTCCAGTTCCCTACCTTGCTTAGGTCCAAAATAAAATCTTCTGGTTTCAATTGGTCCTCTAGGTTACCAAAATGGGTAATCTACCTTGTCAGATTCTATATTACCTCCTCATTTGCAGCACTAATTTTTCAGTTTCCTCTTTATTTCTGGTACCCAGGTATTTCTCTTTCTTTGCTTCTTACCTTCTCGCATGCTAAGTAATACTTTTTAAATATCTTTGTTATATTTTATCTAACTCTAAGTATTTATATTGAGAGAATTTCAAGTTATCTTGGTCCATACCTTTTCAGGGATACATATCAGGGCCATTTCCCTGCTTACCAGGTTTTACTTATCAGGGCAAAGAGCAAGGTGTACATTCTGACCTGGGCATTCAAGAAGAACAGATAAATAACAAATACCATATGTGTATATATGTATGTGCATACTTGTATATGTATTTGGTAAGTATTTGAAACAAGCCTAACCACTATAGGCTGCTTCAATTTGATAATTTAGAATTTTGCATTAGTCTTTTGGGTATTAACTGATGATTACTAATTTTAAACACTACCAAGGAGTAACAAGTTACACCTAAATTCCATTTCTGTTTAAGCTGCTCATTTAGGAACCATTTGACAGCTCAGAATGTTTTCATTAATTTTAATGGGTTGTAGAAAAATATGACTCAATGGCTACTGTCTCAGAGAACTATACCGAGCCACCTACTATGTCACAGTGGGAAAAAAACATAGGCTTTGGGGTGAGAAAGACTAGGTTTGAATTCTAATTTTTGCACTTCTTAACAAGTCATTATAATACTCAGGATAAGAAATACATGTAGATAAACATTACTAGTTTGAATACTTAGAAGCTCCAGAACTTCCATTCATTCATCTAACAGATACATATTTAATGCTTGCCATATATAAGATGGTACCCTAGATGCCATAGGGAATAGAAGGACATATCAAATGGAGTCTTTTCCCTCTCGGAGCTTACAGCTCAGGTAGGGAACAGTGAGACAGATATATAAATGAGTGTAGCACAAAGCAGTATGAGAGCAGTGACAGGTATGCTATAAATGAAAGGCTCTAGTGGAGGCTATCACTTCATTCTGAGCAATCCAGCTTCACATTTTGGTGTGATAAAGAGTATTTTGATGCCAAATAGCCCAAGCCATAGCCCAAGCAGCACCTGAGACCTATTTCTGAACCTGATTATCCAGCTGTTCTACTTCCACACAACATACATGTATTTCTAGTCACTTTGTCTAATCTGTCCACTCAGATTTAGCAAGGGGAAACTCCACAAGGACTGTATTTGTACGACACCGGAGAAGTTCCAAGAGGCACATCTATAGAATATGAGAACAAGTTTGTACATGAAATGTTAACCACAACACCTGGAATTTTCTTTTTAAAAATCTAATTGTATAGAATAATATGGGGGAGATGCCTGAGCAGTGTTCTCTAAATCCCCAGATTGGAGATGACAGTGAACAGGACAATTAGAGAAACAAGTATAAAATCTACAAGACAGAAAAGAAGAAATGGTAGCCATTCACAAGCAACTACCAAACACATAAAAAGCTCTGACCATGATAAGTTTAGAAAAATTCATCCTGAGCCACATGCCTGAGCTAGCCCTTCTATTTGCGATAGTCAGGGAGAGCTGTGAGCAAAGGAAAGAGCATTGGATTGCAGCTGGGAGGGGAGAGGAAGCTGTCAGGAGATCTGGATTCAAGTCTAAGCTCTGCCACCTAATGGGTAGTCTTGTATAAATCCTTTATCCTCATATGATTTCAGTTTCTTCATCTATATAGTAGCTCTTTTGTACATGTTGGTCTCATATTTCTACATGTTGGTCTCTTATATTTCTAAAAGTGTATGAAAAGCTGGTAGATTTTTTTTTTAAGATTTTATTTATTTATTTGACAGAGAGAGACACAGCGAGAGAGGAAACACAAGCAGGGGGAGTGGGAGAGGGAGAAGCAGGCCTCCCGCTGAGCAGGGAGCCCAATGTGGGACTCGATCCCAGGACCCTGGGATCATGACCTGGGCCGAAGGCAGACGCTTAACGACTGAGCCACCCAGGTGCCCCAAGCTGGTAGATTTTTAATGACAGAGATAACGGAGCAGGAACTATTCCAGGTGGAAAGAGAGTGACAGTATTTAAGGAAAATAATGCAAAACTTGAACACTGAAATCTTCACAGTAAGTCAGTAGGCTCCATAAAATAATGATGAAGGTGATCCAAGGATGACTATCCGTGTCTTCCCTTAGTAAACTATGGCCTGTCTCTGTATCCTCAGTGCTAGTGTGATGCCTAATATAAAAGGAGAGGGGTGGGGGGAAGGAAGGAAGGAAGCAAGTTAGCCTGTTCAGGAAGTCCTCTCACAACAGGTGCCACATTTTGTGGCAGAGGTCCCTGTATTTAATGGCCTTTCATATCTGCAACAGTCTGTTTTAAAACAGAGCTGTTTACTTAGAATGCTTTTATTATCAACTATATTTGTGTTCAAAGGGCTTCCAGCTGTGGTAGCTTTTAGAAGGTCCCTTTGTTGTGTGTACATAGTGTCATAACATGTCATTTCTGCCCAGCCAGTTGATTTCATTGACTCAGATGGGGCTGCTTTGTGGATGAGCTGTCTTCTTTCTTCTTAATTTTTACTGCAGACAATAAATATTTTATGCATGGAAAGACAATTTATTTATTCAACAAATGCTTATTAAACACCTCCCCAAAACTAGGCAATGTGTGAAATACTTGGAATATAGAGGTGTATAATATAGGCAAGGTCCCTGCCTTTACGATGCTTACAGTGTCATGGGGGAATCTCACATTAAGTAAATGATTATATGATAATTAATTAATTGCAGTTGTGATAAATGTTTTAAAGGGAAAGTACAGAATGTTACAAGAGAAGCTTAAACTAATTTGGAGGGCCAGGGTCAAGAAAGTAATGTAAAATTAAAATTTTAGACATCCTAAGTGTTTCTCCATTTGAAATATAGAAAGATAATATTATTCCCATAGGTTATACTGATTGTATTAGGGATTTCTGAATTTGGAAAGATAGACTTGTCCACAGAGGCATAAAATCCTTAGAAATCCAGTCCTTTAATTTAATAAATGACTGAAAAGGGAGACGTTATTTATCCTAGAACACATAGCTTGCTACTGGCAGGGATTGGACTTAAACACAGATCTGCTAATCGCACCCTCCCCCCATTACCTCTCCTCCGTGACTTAAAAAAATAAAGACATTATATATCAAATATAGATCAACCATGGCCAAATTAACTATTAAGTGGCCATGGTGTACAAACTTGGATATTGAGTGGGAGAAGGAATTCAAAGTAATGAATTAAGCAAATGCTAATATAAATAGAAATGCACAAAATATACCTTATCAGGCTGATTGTATCTGGTCACAGTAAAACCTAATGTATATACCAAAGTGGGAAATACCCAGCTGGAATTAGTGAAAATATATTTAAAGGTATATGCTTCTATTTCTCTAAAATATAAATACTAATGGCTTAGTACAAGTCTCCAAATAGATGTTTTTAAAACCTATTTTTATTCATGTGTAATATTATATGACATGTAAATTATCCTTGAATGCTTTGCAGCCTGAGTGGTCTCTCAGGTAGTTAAATATTATTCCTGAAACTGTGTTCCACCATATAATTCATATAGCATACCCTTTCATCATAGATAATATAGCAATTAGCTTTAGGCCAGCAACTTATAATTCTTCCAGATTTTTTATTTAAAAGATTGGGAATCAGTGAAATGTTACTATTTATATCAGAGATTTTGGAATTAGTTGAATCATTGAAACTAAAAGGAGATTGAGACTTCAGAGAGAAGGCCAGTCTTGAATAGGTATCAGTGAGAGCACCTAAGTATATACTGACTTGGGGAGCCAAAAACTTAGAAAGTACTAAGTTAAACCATATGAAATTTCCATTTTTAGAGGTCAAAAACAGTCAAATATTGGTGACTTTATATGATTCGCTCAGCTATTACACAAAATGGCCCAAAGGGGAACCTATATTCTAATGTCAACAGGTGTGGCTATTTATTAAATTTAAGTACATGTACATTGGCTATACTTCAAAATTTAACAAATGAGAAATTCCGGTAGTTGAATGAACTTTTAATTTCATATGAAGTAACGATTTAAATGTAGGTAGATGACACAATCACTTCAGAAGCTAAAAATGTTTTAAAAGATCTCCAGCTTGGATAACTGCTAAGTCATCCACACTTCGTGAGTGTGAGCGTTGTGGGGAATACTTAGTTCAATAACCAAGCTTCACTGGTGTGATGTGGACTGTAGTTAACCAGGGTATTTTGCTTTCAGCCGCTTCTTATGCTGACCAGAGGCTTACTTTCTAGTCCTTTACTCTCTCCCAGTCCTTAGCCCCAGTGGTGACAGTCTCCAAGTTTATCTTAGAAAAATCAGGAGAAAAGGGGAAGGGAACTAATCATTGTAAAAATGAACTGTCAGGTGCTTTGCAAGACAGTTTATATATTATTGCATTTAATTCTCACAACAACCCTATAAAACAAATACTATTTCTATTTTACAGTTGAAGAAACTGAGATCCAGAGAGGTTAAATAACTTGCCCAAGGTCACACAGTTTATAAGTGGTAGAGCTAGGCTCCAGACATTCTTATTTCACTATCTGCTGTGCTGCTCTTCTTGCTTGTTTGCTTATTTCTAACCTATATACTTTAGAAGTGCCTTATTTAATTCTAATAAATTCACACAGGAGTAGACAAGGGGATTATCATTGTTTTCTTCTTTTAAAAAAGTAATATAGTAAAACACATTTGAATCTTTTCCTTTCTTCTAAGGATGAACGTGAAGCCAGAGAAAATGTGAAGAGAGAGCAAGATGAGGCCTATCGCCTTTCACTTGAGGCTGACAGAGCAAAGGTAGGTTTGGTCAAAGGACTTCTGAGATAAAGAACTCAATCCTAAATAGTCTTTTATTATTTAATTGCCAGTCCTTTTATCACTTTGATCCCTAAGAATGTTGGGTTTCCAATGGAGTAAGCTAGATTCAATTAACAGAACATAATTCTACCCTTGGTTCTTAAAGCATGGTTCATTTGACAACAAAAAGTTTTTTAAGAATCATGAAATATGAAAACAAAAATGGGCGTAATATTTATTTTCCTTGTCTTTTAATCAGTCTGTGGTAAAAACCTAGCAATGTTTTTGTTTTTTTTTTTTATTTTTTTTTTTTTTTTTTTTTTTATATGAGAGAGAGCACATGAGAGGGGGAAGGGTCAGAGGGAGAAGCAGACTCCCTGCCGAGCAGGGAGCCCAATGCGGGACTCGATCCCGGGACTCCAGGATCATGACCTGAGCCGAAGGCAGTCGCTTAACCGACTGAGCCACCCAGTCGCCCAAATGCTCTTCATGTGATTTCTACTGTGCAATCAGGGTTGAGAACACTGAGAACCATTAATTTATTTAATATTTCTTGAGTACCTACTTCTCTACTGGGCATTGAAGGAGAGGGAAATGAATAAGCCACAGTTTCTGCCCTCAAAAGAAGGCTCACAATATGGTGTAGAATAGATTAACTCAAAAACACAGTTAGCTATAATACTTACACAAGGGTCCTAAAAGTCATAAGGGAAGCCCTGAGTTTTGTGAGAGATTAGTGAACAGGAGTTTCAGTGGAAAGTCTGTTCCAGCTTTTCTGGAGAGCTAATAAGTGGGAATCTATTGGAGAGGGTTTCATGAAAGAGGTTGTATATGTGTACTAAATAGAAAAAAGGGGTAGGAGACAAGAGGTGGTATATGCTAGCTGCAAGGAGCCAGAAAGCATGGGTGCATGATAGAAGCTGATGTGACTAGAGCTTGATATTTGGGTACAGGAGAAGTAGCAGAAAAGACCAGAAAGGAAGACCAGGGAAAGGTCTTCTGATGGATCTTGAATGCCACACTACCCAGAACTACCCAGGTGTTTGTATGGGTACTCAACATGAGCTGAGAGCTATGCTTTGTTGTTGCTTCCATTTCCATTCTTGTTCCAGAAAAAAACATTTCTGTTATCACAGTGCTGGGAGTGAGTTCTTTTTTTTTTCTTCTCCTTTTTAAGTAAACCAGTGTTTATTGAGTGCTGGCTTCCTTTTGTCTTTCATTGACAGAGGGAAGCTCATGAGAGAGAGATGGCAGAACAGTTTCGTTTGGAGCAGATTCGCAAAGAACAAGAAGAGGAACGTGAGGTAGGCATAATTTCAAGTAACATTATTCAAAAGCTAGGTTTATTTCCACTGCAGTTGATAACTGAGGCTGTTAATATTTCTTATGACTTCTTTCCACCTTTTCCAGACTCGTTTTAGTATGGAAAACCTAACCTTTCCTTAAAAGAATCATTCCTGCTCTCTTGTGTGGAACTCTTAGAAAGCTTGACCTTGTACTAGATTCATGGTTTTCTGTTGTTTTCAATTGCTTTTCCCTTTTCTTGCATGACCAGTGCTCGCATCCCTCTTGGATATTGTTTCATCCCAAGAATACAGAGACTGTATTTTCTGCCCTTTCCCAGTCTTCATTTTCCCCACCAAAAAACACTGTGAGTTACTTCTGTGACCTCTTGCACTGGGCCCCTATGTATGGGAAATCCATTTAACATGGTTTATTTTTACCCCCAAGTTCATGTCATGTTCATAATAATAGAATTTTTCATTCACTCATCTTGCAAATATTTTTTTGAATACTTAGTACATCCCAAAATCTGTTAGGGGGTAGGGATACAGATGTGGGTCATCCCCACCAGGAGTTCATAGTCTTCTAAAAATAGAATTACAAAACTATGTGTAAAAGTTGTAATAGAGATTTGCCTAAAGTGCAGTGGGAACAAAGAGAAGGGGTGTCACAAAAACAGATTTTTAGAACTTTTTCGAGACATGGGATTAATAGCAAGATTTACTTATAAAAAGAGAAAGCCATCTAACAAGTAATGGAAAGGCCCGAAGGGCCCTAATTTGAGCTGAGGAAAACTCTATTAGTCATCATTCCCGGTCAGAGGATGTTACCTAGCACTTATTCAGTATATGTTTTTTGAAGAAGAACTATGCTAAACACTGAAAGAGAAACAGAAGATAATAAAACAGTTTCTGCCTGCAAGAAGAGATTGCATCTTGTAGGGAAGATACGGCATGTCTACAAGTAACAGCAAATCAAGGAAAAACTGTGCCAAATAACATAGAAGTAAGAGCAAAATACTTAGAGAGTTCATTGGCAAAGTAAAAATCTGTTAAGCTTTGAGAAACAGACCACACTATAGAAGAAGTGATATTTGAGTCAGGTCTTGAAAGGTGTAATATTTCATGGTTTGGAAATCAAAGTTTATTCATCTTCATACACATTATTGAGTGCCTATCACATATGTACAAGATACTGTGCCTGACAAGCCCTGGTCTCTGTACACTGAGGACTCTCAGTAATGGAAGGTAGAAAATATTTTATTGAACATCTTCTGTGTATCAAGTACTTTTCTAGCTGCTTTACATATGCTTACTCATTGACCATTAAAACAAGCTACAAGGTTAGAGACTTCTTTACAAGTGAGAAAACTGAAGCTCATTGAAAAGTCACACATAGAAATGGAAAAACAGCTGAGATTCTCACCTAGGTCTTTATTGGTCTAAAGTGCATGCTCTTTCACTTACTCCATTCCAGTACAAGGTCATATATCATTCTGTGTGTCTATAGGAATCATGTTTGCAGAGTTTTACAAAAGTTAAGAGACAGATTTGTCATTATGCTTTTAGGCTATTTCAAGAAATATAGTTTAAAAATTTAGGACTCTCGTTCTTTCCTGTTCTTTCACAATGCACATGCTGTCTCTCAATAGTGTATCTTCAACCATATACTTGATAAATGTCAAGTGTACTCAATTAACTGCATGTTCTGGATCTAGAGCTTGATGGTACATGTACTTTCTTCTGATGATTTACCTTTTTTACCCTGGGCTAAAATTTTTTCTCTTTCCCAATACAGATAAAGCCTGTTCTCTCATAGAAGACCCCATAAACATCCTTTAGCATACCTCAATATATATGTTCCCGCTGTAAACATGTGAGAGGGTGGGGCACAGAGGGAGGGAGAACAAGTCGTATTTTGCAACTAGTCGTTATTATACTTATCAGTCCAAAAAAACCAAGTTCAGCTAGTGCTCCAGAGAGTCACAAATAAAGACTCTTATAAATCCCACCATTAAGAAACTATTTATCTTCTGTGTATCTTGATTTAATTAAGTCTTATCCAAACTTATTTGACCCTTTTCTTTGTGGAGCACCAATTAACATATTTCAGCACGCTCATGTACAACAAACAGTTCTTTGGGAAAGCTGGTATTGTGCAACCTCTGAAGAAACTGAGACTCAGGAAGATTATACAGTTTGCCTATGGTCACCAAACTGGTTGGACACATAATCTGGACTAGAAGCCTGGTCACCTGACTTTTCACAGTAATATTGCCTCTCCTTCTAACCAGAAATCCTAACCCATATAATTGTATTGAAAAACAAGAATGGTTTTATTATCTTAATTATCTCTAGTATTTCAAAATCCTTTGGAAAGATGGAAGTATTGTGTAGTCAGATCACCTTGGTTACAGTGAAATTCCTTAGTGGTTGGTCTCACTTTGTTGTAGTGAAATCAGTAAATTAAAGTCCTAGAAGAAAACAAAATCTTCATGATCTTGAGTTAAGCCACGATTTCTTAGATCTGACACCAAAAGTATAATCCATAAAATAACAAGTGTCTAAATTAGAGTAAATCAAAATTAAGAACTTCTACTGTTCAAAAGACACTGTTAAGAAATTGAAAAGACTGGGGAGCCTGGGTGGCTCAGACGGTTAAGCATCTGCCTTCGGCTTAGGTCATGATCCCAGGGTCCTGGGATCGAGCCCCACATTGGGCTCCCTGCTGAGCGGGAAGCCTGCTTCTCCCTCTCCCTCTGTCTGCTGCTTACCCTGCTTGTACACTCACTCTCTCTGTCAAAAATAAATAAAATCTTTAAAATAAAAAAAAAAATTGAAAAGACAAGCCACAGACTGAGAAAATCATATATCTATTGTCCAGAATACATAATGAACTGTTAACATTCAATAATAAAACAAATAACCCAAATTTTTTAATGGGCAAAATATTTAAACAGACACTTCATCAAAGAAGATCTACACAAGGGCAAATAAGCACGTGAAAAGATGCTTAACATTATTAGTCATTAGGGAAATGTAAATTAAAACCATAATAGGTACACACCAATTAGATGGCTTTTTGAAAGAAAAAACTACTGGCAAAGATGAAGAACAACTGGAACTCCTATATATTAATGATGACAGTCATTAATGATAGCACATCCATTTTGGAAAATAATTTGGCACTTTGTTTTAAAGTTAAATATATACATACCATATGACCAAGCAGTCAGGCTCCTGGGTATTTACACAGATGAAATGAAAGTTAACAGTAAAATTTAGGTTCACACAAAAATCTGTGCATATACGTTTATAGTCACTTTATTTGTAGTCACCAAAAACTGGAAACAACTCAAGTGTCCCCCAACTGGAGAAGGAGTAATCAAACTGGTATATCTATCTATACAATGGAATACCACTTAGCAATAAGTAAGAATGAACTACTGATACAGTCAATAATATGGATGAATTTCAAATGCATGACACTAAAAGAAGGAAGCCATTTATATGACATTTATATAACATTCTAGAAAAGGTAGAACTGGGGACAGAAAACAGATTGAAGTTGCCAGGGGCTAGGAATGAGGGAATTGCGGCAGAGGGTGGGGTGGGGGGGTGACAGAACTGTTCTTTACCTTGATTGATGATGATATGCATTTATCAAAACTCACAGAACTATACATTTAGAGGGATGGGTTTTACTTTATTTATATTATACCTCAATTTTAAAATGGGAAAAAAATCATTCTCTGGGCTACTCAAAGCCATGTATGATTTACTCACCCCTCTCTTTGATTCCTTCTCTAACCACCTCCATCCCCCTCTTCTGATCTTTCTGCTCCAGCCACATTATCCTCAGTCAAGCCAGACACCAGGGCTTGGCAGTTACTATGACTTCTGCCTGTAATACTTCTCTCTGATCTAAATGTCCATGTGACTCCCTCTCTCTTTTAGGTGTTTGCTCGCTGGCCTACAGTTTTTTGCTTATTGAGGTTTACAGAGTTGTTGGTTTGTTTTATGTGTGTCTGTGGTTTTTTTTTTAAGATTTATTTATTTTAGAGAGAGAGAGAGAGGGAGAGTGTGTGCTCCTGGAGGAAGGAGCAGAGGGAGAGAATCTCAAGCAAACTCCCTACTGAGTGTGGGGCTCAATGCAGGGCTCATCGGTTGAGGAGCTCGATCTCCCCACCCGTGAGATCATGACCTGAGCCAAACCCAGGTGTTGGAGCTTAACCATCTGAGCCACCCAGGCACCCCAAGGCTTACGGAGTTTATAGTTGTACCCTTCCCTCCTTTCTACCAGCCTCCCTGCACTCTTTCCATAGCACTCATCACTTTGTGACAAACTGTACATTTTCCTATGTGTGTATTTGTTGTCTTTCTTCCACCCTACTAAAATATAGCCTCCATGTAAGCAGAATTTTTTTTTTTATCTATTTTGTTCACTGATATTTTCCTATCATATAGAACAATGCCCGGCACATAGGAGGTGCTCAGTAAGAATTCATGGAATTAATAGCTGTTAGCTTTAGCCTATTTCAAACTCTGCCTCAACCAGCTATAAACTGTTACTTGGTGGGTACTCATAGAAGCCTAGAAGATAATATGTGCATGCATGTATTTATGTATTTGTATATGTATGTGTGTAAATTAAGTCAGTCCTTGATTTTTATTGTAAGAGAGTGGTGTGAGTATATATTATTTTTCCTGTTTAAAAAAATGTAATTGTGTAGAAACTATCTTTTCTGGGTGTCTATCTTTACTACCAGATTTCACTTCCAAGAAGTCCCCATTTCTCATCCCTCAGATGTGAATGTTTTGAGTATTCATATTTTTTAGTAAAACAAAAAGTCCAAGGTCAATTTTTATTTCCAACTTATACTAGGTTTCCTTGCTTTGTTACAAACCTAAAATAATGCAAATAAAAAATTATATTTGTTGAGCAAACCAAATTGAAGTTTAACAATGGTCTTTATACTATGACTGCTATTCAAGTGTAGGTGTCCTTTATGTCATTGTTTTATAACAATGTTTACTTATATGAGGCCTTTGTTTTTAGTGTATTTGAAACTGAGCTACTGATGTATGTTTGTTCTTTTTTACCGGTAAAACTTGGGTATTCAGATCCCAAGGTTGCCAACTTACCTAATATCTCTTCATTGTTTTCCACATTGGGACCACTGGTGTGGGATATCTGAGGTCTGTTTTCATTCTGGGGAAAAGCTCTAGAGACTGGGTGCATTGAGGAAGCAGATAATGTCTGCACAATGAGTGGGGTAATGAGCTACTGTTGTTTATTCTTCTCTAGTATAATTGGTTGAGTTCAGACAATAATGTAGCATCTGTTGTTATACTGTGCAGGGAAATG